GCCAGGTGCGTCAGGTGCGCCAGGTGCGCGCCAGGTGCGCCCAGCGCGTCAGGTGCGTCAAGTGCGCCAGGTGCGCGCCAGGTGCGCGCCAGGTGCGCCAAGGCGACAGGGAGGCCTCAAAGTGGACTGCGTAAGACGTGCCTCCGCTGGGCCTCCCAGGAACCGACGAAAGTGGCGACAGTTGCGCAGATCGCAGCCCCGCAGGGGACAGGGAGGCCTCAAAGTGGTCTGCGGAAGACGTGCCTCCGCTGGGCCTCCCAGGAACCCACGAAAATGGCGACAGTTGCGCAGATCGCAGCCCCGCAAGGGACATGGAGGCCTCAAAGTGGTCTGCGTAAGACGTACCTCCGCTGGGCCTCCCGGGAACCCACGAAAGTGGCGACAATTGCGCAGATCGCAGCCCCCCCAGGGGACAGGGAGGCCTCAAAGTGGTTTGCGTAAGACGTACCTCCGCTGGGCCTCCCAGGAACCCACGAAAGTGGCAACAGTTGCGCAGATCGCAGCCCCGCAGGGGACAGGGAGGCCTCAAAGTGGTCTGCGTAAGACGTACCTCCGCTGGGCCCCCCAGGAGCCCACGAAGTGTGTGTTGCGCAGATCGCAGCCCCGCAGGGCACCGCGAACACAGGAGAGAAGAAGGAGGAGAGGGCGGGAGGTGGATACCACAATGTTCTATTCAAAACGAGTACCCAACACAAGGAGGGTTGGGAATAAGTAAGCCCCCCCCGGCTTGGGCCGGCCCACCCCGCAACCATCGGGGGAAGCCCGCTGATACGCCTCCCGTTTCGTTCCCCAGAGGCGGCCCGGAAAGGCCAAGAGGGTGCCAAAACGAGCCAAGAGAGTTCCAAGAGGCCCCCAAGACGGCGCGAGAAGGTCCGAGCTGCCCAATACGTCCCAGAAGGACTCCCAGAGCACTCCCAAGAGGGACCCAAGAGGCGCAAATAATCAAATTCCTATGGGAAAGCGTAATTTTTTAGCATGTACGATTTTTCAGCTTCCGCGGCTTTGACGACGGCCCAAGAGGCTCCCAAGACTTCCCCGAGACAGCCCAAGACGTTCCCAAGAGGCCCCCGAGCCTTGGGCGCCAAGACGGCCCAAGGGCCGCCTAAGACGGCCAAGTTGGCGCCGAGGACGGCCAAAGAAGGCCCCGAGTCGCCCAAGACGGCCCAAGATGGCCCAAAGGCGGTCCAAGAAGGCTCCGAGGCGTCCCAAGAGGCGTCGAAGAGCACTCCCAGGAGGGCCCCAAGAAGCCACAATCGTTGAATTCCTGTCGGGAAACGTACATTTTTCCCATATGCGACTTTTCGGCCTTCACGGCTATGAAGACGGCCCAAGAGGCTCCCCAGACTTGCCCAAGAGAGCCTAAGACATTCCCAAGAGGCCCTCAAGACAGCCCACGAGAGGGCCAAGACGGCCCAAGGGCTGCCCAAAAATTGGCCCCAAGAGACCCCCAAGAAGGCCCCGAGTCGCTCAAGACTGCTCAAGATGGCTCCAAGAAGGTCCAAGAAGGCTCCGAGACGTCCCAAGAGGCCTCCAAGAGCACTCCCAAGAGGATCCCTAGAGACCAAATTCGTTACATTCCTGTAGGCGAAACGTACAGTTTAGGCATATACGATTTTAGGGGCCTTCACGGCTTTGAAGACGGTCCAAGAGGCCCCCATGACTTCCTCAAACGAACCGAAGACTCTCCCAAGAGGCCCCCAAGATAGCCCAAGAGGGCGCCAAGACGGCCCAAGGGCCGACTAAGACGGCTCCAGGAGGGGTCCAAGAGGGGAACTCCGACTCGAAAGTAGCAGCCGTCCGCCCAAAGAATTTCCCAGGAGGCCCCCAAAGTCCCCAAGAGGCCCCAAGAGGTCCCCAAGAGACCCGCAAGAGGCCCAAACGAGGCACCAAGAGGGGTCCAATCGGATAGGACGGCCTCCAAGAGGTCTCCAAAAGAGGTTCGGAAAGATCTTCTTGCGGATCCGAACATACACAGGTATACGATTTAGGTCGCTGTGGGATGGCCTCAGGAGGTCTTGGAAGTCATTTGGGCCGTTGGCGTAGTTCTTGGGTGCCCCAGAGGGATTGGTCGCAAAATAGAAGTCTTCAAAGTTCGATCGTGAAGCCTAGCTAGAACCTAAGCGCGCACGAAGCACGCGCGTGGTTCTACTCTATAGATTTATATATAACTATACAACTATACGTACATACACACACCTATAGATGTATATATTTGTGTATATTATATTCATGTGTACAGGTGGAAATGTATGCGTATGTATGCATATATGTCTGGTTGGCTCCATCTCTGTGTTCCTTCCGCCGCATTATCCCTATCTCTCTCTCTCTCTTGCCCACTGCCTCTCTCTCTCTCTCGCTCTCTCCTTCTCTCTATCTGTATTTCTCTCTCTCTCTCTCTCTCATCGTCTCGCCCTATACTTAACAGTATCTCTCTCTCTCTCTCTCTTTCGCTGGCTCTTGGTCTCTCTCGTGCTCTCTCGCCCTCTCTCGCGCCCCTCTCCATAAACATACATATAGATATACACAGTTGTACAAATACACACGTGTACATACGCATATCGTCAACTCTCCTTGGGTTCAACCGATCCCTCCCGCACGATCATTATCGCTATATCTCCTCTCCCTCTCTCTCTCTCTCTTTCCTCTCTCCTTCTCTAAGTATATATAGCTCTCGCTCTCGCGCAACGACTCTGTCTCTCTCTCTCTCTCTCTATATATATATATTCTCTCTCTCGCTCTCTCTCTCTTTGTGACTCCCTCTCTCTGTCTCTCTCTCTATATATAGATTCTCTCTCTCTCGTTATATGTACATGGGTCACCCTCTCCCTCTCTCTCTGTCCCTCCTCCATTTCACACTCTCTCTCTCTCGCGCTCTCTCTCTCTGCCTACATGTGTATACGTATGCCTATACAGATACGCCCACCTACAGATTCCCCTACAGCGCCTGCACTCAGGAGCGCCAGCTTAACTGCACCGAGTACTTGTTTCAAACCAGCGCTTGCACCTGCTAACAGGGGTCCTCGCGTTGCTTCCTCCAGGAACTGGACGGGCACGCCGGGGCGCCCGCGGTGTGCCCCGTGGGCACCCCACGCGCGGGGTGCCCTGGCCAGTGAGCGACGAACGCGGGCGCCTCGTGGGCGGCTCGTGGGCGCACCGTTCATTTGGGGGGGGCCGGGGCTGCGCGCAGAGTGCCCGCCCGAAAGCGCCTCGTCGTGGGCGCCCCGCCGAGGTTTCGCCCGGCCCACGAGATGGCTCACGTCGCATGCAGCTTGCTCCGAGTTTCTCAAGAAGCGTCGGGGGGGCGTCACCCCCGCCGACAGCCCCACATCGACCCCCGTCGCGGGCAGCCACCGCGCGCCGAAGGCGCTCCGACCCCCGTCGCGGCGCGACGTCGAGGCGAGGTTGACCTCCGTCGGGGGGGTGCCCCCCCACGCTTATTCAGAAACCCAGAGTGCACGACCTAGCTCCAGAGCGCCAAAAGTTGATGTTTATGCCGTTTTGCCCTTCTTCTGTTCGGCAGGATCACGGCGAGACCTGCGTATCGATGTCCATCGGCTGCCCGCGTCCAAAAAAAAGAAGCTTACACGAGCTAGCTCGCACCTCCGAGGACAATTCGCAGAGCTTGCACAACACGGCTCGCACCGCATACCTGACACGGCCTGGCTCACACCACATCGCTCACGCCACCTAGCTTGCCCAGCATGGCTACCACCGCATAGCTTGCATCACATAGCTCGCTTGCATCACATAGCTCCCACCACAGAGCTTGTCCAACCTAGCTAACATCAAACAGCTTACTTTGGCCTAGCTCGCACGTGCGCGATGCAGCAACTCCTTGTGCTGGGCCCTCGCTGGCTGATATTGATTGGGTATTCTGTGTTTTCGCCTGGTGCCCGCCCGTGGGCGCCGCGTGGGCGCCCCGCGCTAAGCGCTGGGAGGTTATGTCGAGGTTTCGCCTGGTGCCCGCCCATAGGCGCCTCGTGGGCGCTCGTGGGCGCCCCGCGCTGGAGGGGTACGTCGCAGGTCCGCCTGGTGGGAGGCTGGGACGAGGAGCCTGGTGAGAAGGAGGGGCAGGAGGGGGAGGAGGAGGCGAAGGAGGAGGGGGAGGATCGCGGATTGTTTGAGCGACACCTGCGGGAGAAATGCGCGCTTTCGACGTCAGCGACGACGACGGCGACGGCGACGACGACAGTACGCCCGTGGGCGCCGCGCGCTGGGGCGGGATGCCGAGGCTTCGCCTGGCGCCCGCCCGCGTGCGCCTCGTGGACGCTCCGCGCAGGGGGGGTCTGCCGTTTCGCCCGCCGCGTGGGCGCCCCGATGGCTTGCACCACGCAGGTTCTCGCTTCAAATTGCACCAGAGAAAGACGCAATTAGTGGATGGTTTGATGAGATCGATGGTGAGATCGATTGGTTGAGATGATTCGGGAGATCGATCATGAGATCGATAATGCATCGTGGGATCGATGAAGAGATCGACAAGGAGATCGACCCGGAACCCGGGAACCCAGAACCCACCGAAGTCGGCCCGGAACCCGGTGGGTTGCCTCCCCTTGGGGGTTGCCCAGTGACGCTCTTGGTGCGGCCGGCACGGGGCGCTCGAGAAGCCCCGAAGAGACCTCACGGTCCCAATTGGCCGACCCTCAGCGTACGTTGGTCCGAGTAAGCCCAAAAGCACAACCCACACATGACGGATTCGGTGCGGGGGCCAAGTTGCGCGAGCTCTGGGATGGGCGTGGATCCGTACCCGCTTCGATTCAAGCCAGACTGATCGCGAATCACAACATAGTCGCGCAGCTATCCGTCTACAATCTCTCCGGGCCTGCCACTCACAGTCATTTGTAAGATATCACTGTTCGTGCCACTGCGCCGGTGGCAAGTCAAGAGTTGAAGCGAATTGGCAGAGCACGTGGAGCCATCGGACGCGTTGGCTGGGGAGCGGAACGGAGGGAACGGATTGTGATGTACCCGACGTGGGTACAGATCGTGTTTGGTCCGCCGAGGCGTTGACGGGGCTACCAAAGCGGGGGGAGCACAGCAGCGAGATGATTGGCTGACTGGCGAGGGGTCGCTGAAGAGGCCCAGAGGGGTAAGCGGACAAACCACGGGGGCGAGAGCGGCCCACATAATGATGGGGGGCCAGATGTGCATGCGGGGATGTGCCAAGCGAGGACGGGGAGAAGACGACAGGGGGGACCAGGACATGAGGCACAGGGAGGTGGCGGGGAGAGGAGGAGGAGGAGGAGGAGGAGGAGGAGGAGGAGGAGGAAGGAAGAGGAAGGAGGAAAGAGTAGGAGGAGGAGGAAGAGGAGGAGTGGGAGGAGGAGGAGGAGAGGGAGGAGGAGAGGAGGAGGAGGAGGAGGAGGAGGAGGAGGAGGAGGAGGATGAGGAGGAGGAGGAGGAGGGAGGAGGAGGAGGAGGAGGAGGAGGAGGAGGAGGAGGAGGAGGAGGAGGAGGGAGGAGGAGGAGGAGGAGAGGAGGAGGAGGAGGAGGAGGAGGAGGAGGAGGAGGAGGAGGAGGAGGAGGAGGAGGAGGAGGAGGAGGAGGAGGAGGAGGAGGAGGAGGAGGGAGGAGGAGGAGGGAGGAGGAGGAGGAGGAGGAGGAGGAGGAGGAGGGGGAGGGGGAGGAGGAGGAGGAGGAGGAGGAGGAGGAGGAGGAAGAGGAGGAGGAGGAGGAGGAGACCACCCAAGCCTCTGTGGCCCAAGCCTTTGGGAGGGGTTCCTTGCCTCCTCGGGAGCCATAGGAGGACCACCATGCGTCGCAGGCGTACCGCGCAGCGCGGCCGCGACGTCATGTCGGTGACCATCGAAAAAGGCCGGGAGCACACAAGGGGCAGGCCACACGCATCTCGAGCAGTCTAAAGGCCCACCAAAGAATGTTCTAAGAACCGTTGGTGGCTTGCACGAGATATTCTCAGAACATTGCTGGCTGAGACTGTTTCGTTTGAACACGTCGGGCTTATGTTCTAAGAATTTGATGTCCCTTAAAAATTGATGGAGCCTAAGACCATCGTGTAGTAGGCCTATAGGAATGAAGGGACGGCCAGTCCCTGCTCAAGCATCATATTTGCAATGTTTTGTCTCGGCGGCGAGCGTGAGGGGGCAGTGAGAAGGAGAAGGCCTTCTCAGATGGCGGCTGGACTTGTCAGAAGCCCTCCAGCCTTCTGGGAGGTTTTCAGTGTCTTCGGGGAAGGCTCAGAGAGAACTGTTCAGAAGGCCAGGGGACTTCCGAGCTCTCTGAGAAGGCCCGCCCCCTCTCATTTCTCCCCCTCGCCCGCCGCCGAAAAAAGGGCTGCCCACATGCATTAGATCCGAAACATATGGTCAGAGGAGGGCGAGACAACGGTCGTTTGCCTTCGGGGAGGCTCCTCGTCGTCCTCGTCGCCACGGCTTGACGCAGCTCGCGCTGGGACACAGGGACCCGTTGTGAGCCGTCGTTGTCTCAACCCGTCCTGCTCCGAAATCGGTTACGGCAGGTTCGCGTCGTGTCGACCAGCGGCGACCCCAGCGCGGGCGTTCAAGGTTGAACGCCGCCGGCGGCCCAGAATCGGTCGATGTTGAACGATCGGACGTTGCGGAGACGGCCGATCGTTCAAGGTTGAACGATCCAGCGCGGTGTCAAAAACCAACGCTGGGGTCGGCACGACACGAACCCGCCGTACGACAGTCACCAGCGTTTCGGTGAACGCACGCGGCTCACCCTGCAGGTGCATCCGGAAGGCCCTCGGGATCAGTTATCCGGGGGGGGGGGTCGTTTCGGGGGGAGCGCAAGTTTCCGGATCACTGAACGTGTTTGAAAGGGATAAGATGTCATTGGTGCTTCGTGCCAAGCACTTCGGTTTTTTAATTTCGGTTTGCTGGCGGAGTGAGAGAGAAGTGAATAAGTAATAACAACGGTCACTTAGTGTTGTCGTGTTCACCATCGTTGTGATATTGATTCGTCATCCTTCCCTCATCTTGTCTCTTCCTCGTTCATGTCTTTCCCTGCCAATACTTCTACGTCCTCCTTAGCATTATGTGGTGGAGGTTCCTCCTTGGAAAGCCTCTTGGGGGCGTCACGAAAGCTTCCCAAGGGCTTCTCAGAGGCTTCTGGAGGCTTCCTGTACGCCTTTTGCGGGCCTCTGGGGGGGGTCCTCGGACCACCTTGCTGCAACGGGGTCACGATTTGGAGTGTTTCTAAGAGCGTCTTGGGGCCATCTTGGGGGTCATCATGGGGCTCTCTTCGGGCTTCGGCCCCTGCCGCCGGCCCCCTCTCTATCAGAATGGGGTAGTGGCGAAGCGTCCTGGCTCGCCTATAGGCCCACCAAAGAATGTTCTACGAACCTGTTGTGGTCTGCTCGAAATGTGTTTAGAACATTTTTGACTGGGACTCTCTTGTTTCAGAACATCGGGTTTATGTTCTACGGGCATTGTTTGTGTTATTTGAACATCTCTGGGTTCTAAGAAGATTTCGTGGCAGGCCAATAGGAATACCGGGACGGTCGGTCCCTTCTCAAACATAACAGAGTCGCGTCGGAGCGTTTCGGCGTTGCTTTGGCGCATCTGGGAACAGCATGTGGGGGCGGATAGGAGTCATCAGCGCATATTGAAACGTTGGCGTTATCGAAGACGCCTACGGCGAGTCACCGCCGCCCCCTCCCTTTTTGGAAGCGCCTATTTGGCCGAACGTTGAGGCCAGACCTGCCAAGCTATCGGACCATGTGTTCCCCGAATCGGTTTGGAAAGCCTTCGGGGAACACGTGGGCATCTTGAAGGTCATCTTGGCCGTCTGGAGGCCATTTTGACCCTTTCGGGCCTTCTTGGAGGACGTCTTGGAGTGCTCTTGGGCCGTCTTGGATGCCATCTTGAGCGTCTTGGAGACCTCTTGGGCCGTCTTGGGGGCCTCTTGGGGCCGTGTCTTGGGCCTCTTGGGCGATCTTTGGGGGCACTTGGGCCGTCTCGGGCCGTCGGAAGGTAGGAAAGAAAGCAAATCCTTCAAAACCCGATGGGAAATCAATGATTTTGGCCTTTTCGGGCCTTCCTGGAGGTCCTCTTGGAGGCCTCTTGGGCCGTCTTTGGCCATCTTAGGGCCATGTTCGGCCGTCTTGGTGGGCTCCTGGTCCGTCTGACGCCGTCGGAAGCCGTTAGGGGGGCCTGTAAGGGCCGACTTGGTGCCCTCTTGGAATGCTCAAGGGCAGTCTTGGAGGCCATCTTGGGCGTCTTAAAGGCCTCCTGTGCCGTCTTGGGGGCCTTTTGGGCCCCCCTTGGGGCCCTCTTGGGCCGTTCTGGGGCCATCTTGGAGACCTCTTGGGCGATCTTTCGGCGATCTTTGGTGGCTCTTGGGCATTCTCGGGCCGTCGGAAAGCCGAAAAGGCGCAAATGCCAAAACCTTGCAAAAACCTCAGGAACATCAATGATGTTGGCCTTTTCGGGCCTTCCTGGAGGCCCTCTTGGAGGCCTCTTGGGCCGTCTTTGGCCATCTTAGGGCCATGTTCGGCCGTCTTGGTGGGCTCCTGGTCCGTCGGAAGCCGTTAGGGGGGCCTGTATGGACCGACTTGGTGCCCTCTTGGAATGCTCAAGGGCAGTCTTGAAGGCCATCTTGGGCGTCTTAAAGGCCTCCTCTGCCGTCTTGGGGGCCTTTGGGGGCCACCTTGGGGCCCTCTTGGGCCGTTCTGGGGCCATCTTGGAGACCTCTTGGGCGATCTTTCGGCGATCTTTGGTGGCTCTTGGGCCGTCTCGGGCCGTCGGAAAGCCGAAAAGGCGCAAATGCCGAAATCTTGCAAAAACCTCAGGAACATCAATGATGTTGGCCTTTTCGGGCCTTCCTGGAGGCCCTCTTGGAGGCCTCTTGGACCGTCTTTGGCCATCTTAGGGCCATGTTCGGCCGTCTTGGTGGGCTCCTGGTCCGTCTGACGCCGTCGGAATCCGTTAGGGGGGCCTGTATGGGCCGATTTGGTGCCCTCTTGGAATGCTCAAGGGCAGTCTTGAAGGCCATCTTGGGCGTCTTAAAGGCCTCCTGTGCCGTCTTGGGGGCCTTTGGGGGCCACCTTGGGGCCCTCTTGGGCCGTTCTGGGGCCATCTTGGAGGCCTCTTGGGCGATCGTTCGGCGATCTTTGAGGGCTCTTGGGCCGTCTCGGGCCGTCGGAAAGCCGAAAAGGCGCAAATGCCAAAACCTTGCAAAAACCTCAGGAAAACAATTTGTTTGGCCCTTTCGGGCCTTCCTGGGGGCCCTCGTAGGGGCCTCTTGGGCCGTCTTGGGCCCGCTTCGAGCCAACTTCGGCCATCTTGGTGGGTTCTTGGCACGTCTGACGCCGTCCGGAGCCGTCTTGGAGGCCTTTCTGGGCCGACGTGGGGCCCTCTTGGGGCGCTTCGAGGCCGTCTTGCAGGCCATGTTGGACGTCTTGGAGGCCTCTTGGTCCATCTTGGGGCCCTCTTGGGGCCGTTTTGGGGGCGTCTTGGGCCGTCATGGGGCCATGTTGGAGACCTCTTGGGCGATCTTGGGAGCCTCTTGGGCCGTCTTGGGCCGTCGGAAATCCGAAAAGGTGCAAATGCCAAAATCCTGCAAAAACCTAAGGAGCATCAATAATTTTAGCCCTTTCGGGCCTTCATGGAGGACGTCTTGGAGGGCTTTTGGGCCGTCTGAGAGGCCTCTTGCGGGCCTTTTGGGCCGTCGTAGACCATCTTGAGGCCATCTTGACCGTCTTGGGTGCATCTTGGAGCCATCCTAGACGTTTGTGTTGACCATCTTGGCTGTCTTGGAGGCCATCCTGGGCTATCTTGGCCGTCTTGGAGACCATCTTGGGCCAATTGGGGCAACAAAGGCATTGACGGACGGATGTTCGGGAATCTCCCGGGACCCCGGCGGGACGGGCCGAAGCCCCGAGGAGTTCTTTTGGAGAAAGAACCAAAACCAAAACCATATAGTTTGGCACGCCAGGCACCCCTTTGATACATCAACAGGGGGCGGCGGATCCGAGTGGCCTTCGGCCCATCCCGCCACCGTGCCCGGGTTGTGGGTCTGAGACCTCTTGTAGATGTGTTGGGGTGTCGTGGGGAGCTTCTCGGGGGCCTCTTGGAGGCGGTTTGGGCGCCTCCTGGGGG